TCTCTCTCTCTCTCTCTCTCTCTCTCTGTCTCTCTCGGTTTCTCTCTCGTGTTCACGAGTTGTACTCTGTCGTTGTTTCGACAATATATTACCTCGTTTGATATTTGATGATTTCGCGGTGTGTAGTATTAACATACAAAGATGTTTTTTCGGGTTTGAACCGCGTTAGTGTCATTTTTATACCGACGTTTCGTGAACATTACAGCTCACTTCATCAGAGTTTGAAGAGCAGCCTGATACTGAGTATAAAAAGCCTGATACGTCGGTATAAAAATGACACTAACGCGGTTCAAACCCGAAAGAACATCTTTGTATGTTAACATATTACCTCGTCTCAAGACAAAGGCAAGAAAACAACAAAAGATAATTAACACAAGCGTGGTTAAATTTTTCATGTGTTTCAGGTCAGAATAAAAATACTCCCGAACTTTTGCCCGAATTCTTAGCTCCCTTGGAAAATCACACGGTGATACAGGGTCGCGACGTCTTCTTCACCTGCGTCGTTAATCATCTGCAGTCGTACAAGGTACAAACATTTCTTTCTCGATTAAACTCAACTTTTACTTTTTATCGCAAAACAATGTTTTCAAAACACAATTTAACGCCTGTGAAAATGTATAATATGCGAATCTCTTTGTTGAGGCTTTTGATGAGGATTTCAAGTGACAAGTGTAGATCGTGCGAAGAGCACTTATCTCCGAAACGTGTGTTTCAGGTAGCCTGGATAAAATCCGATTCTCGAGCAATTCTGGCAATACACACGCACATGGTGGCCCATAACAACCGATTGTCCGTCACGCACAACGGGCACAACACGTGGAAACTGCACGTGACGAATGTTCAGAAGAACGACTCCGGTACTTACATGTGCCAAGTTAACACCGATCCGATGCGCAGTCAGGTGAGCATGTGATTGCGCGAGCGATCAATTTCACGGAAACTTTGTTGTGACAACTTTCGGTTCACACGAGCGTGAAAAAAGTTTATCAAACCGTGTATATTATTACATAATGTTTGGAATTGCAATTAATCGGCACGTGTTACGTGTGTGCGGCGGCGCACGCACGATGTTTCGAAATGACGCGATGTTTTTTAACCTTCATAATTCGAGTTTCACACTGTTTTTTTTCCCCCTACTTTTTTTTTAATGACACGGGTACCCGCATTTTTTGAAATGCCCGTAACTTCAAACAACATTATCCGCTACAGCGAGACACGCCTCGACGCGCATCCGCAATAACACAACACGCATCTCTGTTAAATTAATTTCCATTTACTTTCCAGTCGACGACGCTCTATTTTTTCGTCGGCGCTTCCGTGTGTTGGAATCGCGCGGTCGTTACACGCGAGCCTTTCTCTCTCTCTCTCTCTTTATCTATCTATCTATCGATTTCCATCGACAGAGAGCGTTGCACCGCGATGCGTAATTCGATTAAAAAGATCGAGGTTTCGCGCAATTTCGCCGGATCACCGTGTGTGTGTGTGCGCGCGCGCGCGCGCACGGTGCCCGCGGCGGAATTTGTAAAATTCCATACACACAGCGCGACCATAACTTTTTAACGCGCGCTTTTTCTTCAAACCCTCGACCATTATTTCGCGGTGTAATATCGGTTGTAATATCGGCCTCATCGCGCTGGCAGCTGCCGTTCAGGCAGCGCGCGCGCGCGCGCGCGGCGTACCTGCAAAACACTAGGACTATTTTATTCTATTTGAGGTGGAAAATCGCGTCGTTAAAATCAGACTCGCGCGCAACTTGCGGGGTCACCGATCGATTCCGCTTTGTTTTCGAATTTTTGGCGCGCTGATTTTTCCAATCACACCTCAGCCATTACAAACACATATCGATTGTAAACATTAACGAAATTATGAAACTTCTGTGTATTTTCGTTATATTTCAAATCCACACTCTTTTGTGGTGCATGCATATATAGACGTAGAATGTATAGACTACGCGTTCCCTACTTTTGCCATGTTAAGAAAATGGGTGCGTTCAGACAACTCAACGATTGAGAGATCATCACTTATGATAGGACTATTCTTCAAAATCTGAAGCGGTTCCAACACAGTATGATCCAATCAAAAGTGATTATCTCTCAACCGTTGTGCAACTGTTGTCCCAATGTCTTCAACGTTGAGAGAGACAGCTGGTGTTGAACAGTAGCCTCATCTTTGTCTAGCGAAGTAGTGGGGGAAAACGAAGTCTTCGCTGATTGATAGAATAGTAGTGGAAAAGTGGGGATAGAAAAATAGTGGGTGTGAAGAGGAGTGAAAGAGATGAAGGGGTGATGGCAGGTTAGATGATATGAAACAGTAGGTTCTGATCCCACCACAGACATCGATAGACAGAGAGAGAGTTACTATTCAAAGTACGTTGTCTCTCTCAACGTTGAAGACATCTTTTCAGCCAAACGCGCAGTCTATATATTCTACGTTTACGGGTGCACGTAGAAAAGATACAGAAACATACTCTCGCACATACGTTTACGTCATTACTCCTGGACCAAGTATTTTTTCAGTCGTCGTTTTTTTATATCTGCATTATTCCCACCGTCTTATCTACATTCCGCCCGGTATTCGGATCCGCTTCAGTGACAAACGTACGGTACACGTTTGCGCGACGGGAAAACTCGATGTTCTCCATTCGGCGCGCGAGCGAAGTCGTAAGGTAACGCCACACCGGAGTCGTCGCTAGACGACAATCGCGCGCGAACTTTAATTATGCAGATTTTCGGCAAGACGACCCGCGCGCGTTCGAGAAAACACACGGCAAAATTACAGCCGACAGTTGCGGCAGGTGCGCCCGTCGCACTGTTTTCCCCGACGACGACGACGACGACGAGAATCTCGTTTTCCCTTCCGGAAAACTCGGAACGCGTCCTTTAAATCCCGAAGTGTTGTACACCGGTCTCGCGACCCCGATCCGATGCAAAATTATTTATCGCCTCTGCTTATATCGCGGTTTTATCCAGCTCCAGGAAAGTACGTTCTGTAAACTATTGCGCGAGTATCTATATTTTTTTTTCTCCTTTTTTCCCTCTCTCTCTCTCTCTCTCTCTCTCTTGCTTTTTCTCCCCGCTTTTTTCTCCCCGAAGTAATGCTCGGAACAAAATGCGGTTGAAGAAAATTTTCAATGATTAAAGTATACGGACGAAAAAATTGATTACGCACGTTGCTCAGTTTGCACACAGGTACATATTTTATGTATCTCAAGTTAAACCTACGTCGATTATGACTACAATGATTAATTTATATTTCTTCTTCGCAATCTTTGTTGTACACAGTCGAATCGCGTTATTGTTAACACGTTTGTCTAAACTACTCACGTTAGTGTTAACAATTTCTCTCATTCCTACTATTCTTGAACTTAAGGACGTTCTTCGAATTATTGATTTTTTTAGGATATTCTTTAAATTTGCGATATACATAGTTTATGATCTCATTTATAGCCTTTTTGGATAATAGGGGTAGCAATGTTAATTTCCAAAATATGGAAGATTTATATTTCAATTTTTAACATGGATTTTCTATGCTGAGCCTTTGTGAAGTGGGGTTTTTTAAAATTACTGACGACAATTTTCTTAGGATTTTTTTTAAACAAGTATGTGGTAGTGGAGAGTGTTCTAATTAAAATGCGATTTTGAATAATATGGCAAGCAACCATTTTTTTCAAACTGTAGCTTTTTTTTGTTTTTTTTTTTTTGTTTTGCTGGATTTACGTGCGCTGTGTACTGCAGCTATTAGAACTTCTGCGCAGAGTAAGCGGGCCTTAGCAGTGCTGAATAGCTCAACTTAACTTTGTTACAGCAGTACAAACTTACTCATGAGAAGAGATTATTTTAGGTTGCTAACCACTATAGTCCATAGACGTATAATATATAGACTGCGCGTTTGGCTGAAAAGATGTCTTCAACGTTGAGAGAGACAACATACTTTGAATAGTAACTCTTTCTCTGTCTATCAATGTCTGTGGTGGGATCAGGGCCTACTGTTTCATACCACCTATAACCTACCATCACCCCTTAATCTCTTTCACTCTTCTTCACACCCACTATTTTTCTATCCCCACTTTTCCACTACTATTCTATCAATCAGCGAAGACTTCGTTTTCCCCCACTACTTCGCTAGACAAAGATGAGGCTACTGTTCAACACCAGCTGTCTCTCTCAACGTTGAAGACATTTTCTTAACATGACAAAGGTAGGGAACGCGCAGTCTATATATTATACGTCTATGACATTAACACGATGTTAACAGTATCGAGATTAACATTAACAGCGATTCTCTCGACCGTATCGTGTTCTCTCTCAGATAGTTTTTTTTACAAATATGTTTCTCCCTCTTTTTCTCTATACGTTCCTTCTTTTTTTGTACCGTGTCCCCTAACTCCTTTATCTTCTCTTCTTTTTTTCCGCATACACGCGCGCGGCACACATACGTACGCGTTATCACGCCCCATCGTTCGTCTAGCCTTGTACCGATGAGCACTACTACGGGCCCTTTATCTCACGTCAGGGCCGTATATTGCATCGGAAGATTTCCCGCTCTGCCGGTCACATTGAATTCCGCGGGACATGCGCGCCGGGGCAACACAACCAGTAAATTCTACCCACACACGGTTAACCTCTGTGACACGTAACCGGCGACCGTCACTCTTGCCCCCGGCAGTACGTGCCCAGGACCGTAAAACGATGTTCTTTTTACACGGCGAATTACGCTACGAGACACTTCAACGCGGTTTATACCGACTGACGTTCCGCGTCCCGACGCGACTGACTTTTTCGACTCGGCTGCGCGGACGAGATTAATATACGTACCGAAGGCATCGTGTGTGCGCATCGCAGTCAGATAACATAAACGTCAGCTGATACATCGCGATTTTATTATAAAAATTCTAGGTAAATTCTTCCGTGTACAAATCGTTAAGTTGCAGAATTCGGGTAATGATGACGCGCGATATCGAAATATCGATACATACGCGCGATTTTAGCTTCTGACAATAAACGTGCGATAATATTGAAAGCACGTTTTTATTAGATAAATGCAATATATATTAGATAAAAACAAAGAGAGATTCAGAGCAAATTTAAGCTATTATTTATTTTACTATTATTTATATTTATATATCATATATCTTGGTTTCAATGGAGTGGAATACGCGCGTCGTTCCGCACACTGTGCCAGTAAATTCTATAGTCTCACATATTATACTCTCATCCCGTACGTGCTCAGGGCCGTAAAACAATGCGGTTTTTCCACGAGTTCTGTTTTTGTTAGATCGTCTTAGTGCGGATTCCCGACCGTTCGCGCAGACGAAAGAGAGGAAGGAGAGTAATTTAGTTTCTTTGTAATTTTGATCTTCGTAGCTGCCAAAAAAAAAAAAAAAAAAAAACAAACGTTTCAAAATAACACAACACAATCTTTCATGTGGTTTATTAAATTTCTCTTTCTTTTGTTTTGTAACCGAAAGTAAATTTGTTATATAAATTGTATATATATAATTCATATTTTTGTGAGGAAGGAAAGCTTTCACGAAAATCTTGTGTTTCTTTTTGCTCCAGATGGGATATATGGAAGTGGTGATACCGCCTGACATAATGGACGACGAATCTGCAAATGGTATGGTCACCCACGAGGGTGGTAATATAAGATTGCGATGCGTCGCCACCGGGTCACCGGAACCCACCGTCACCTGGAGACGTGAGGACGGTCGCAACATTATTCTTCGGGAAGAAGGACAGAAACAATGTGAGTTTATGTGTTTCTTCCATTAATCATTTATTAAATGATTAATGTTTCCACTAACAACACACAATAAATACAGAATTGGAAATTTATCAACAATTTAACTGTGTTTGAAACATCCGGTGTTTAATTTCATTAGTACAAATAATTAACGTTTCTCGTCACAAGAGAGAAAGAGAGAGAGAGAGAGAGAGAGAGAGAGAGAGAGAGAGAGAATTGCGTCGAATAAACGTACATTAGTTGGACATGCACGTTATTGGATTCGGGTATGACCAAAATGTAACACGCGCAAACCGATGTGCAGAGAGTCCATGCTCTGATAAACTTATATCCACTTACCGTTGATGTTTTAGAAATATACGCTTTGAATTGCATCGCTCAGTAGAGACCGGCATCCTCGTAAAATCGAGTTACCTAAGATTCCTTTGAAATCTAATGTTTCTCTCTCTCTCTCTCTCTCTCTCTCTCTCTCTCTCTCTCTCTCTCACACACACACACACACACGCGCGCGCGCGCGCGCGCGAACGTATGTGGCAAAATGACTATATACACGTTTTCGTCAGAATAATCACAGATGCACAGTAGACTCAAGCAGCGCAAATTACTCTCTCCGCAGGAATTCCGCAGACGGGATTTATTTGCGACGCCCCGTATTACACGCCAACAACGAACCAAAAATTCTTTTCCGCGCGTGTGAAAATTTGAACTTTTGAGAGACATTCGACTGTTTCTTAATGGAAAAAAACAAAACAAAAAAAAAAAAAAAAACACTCGTCACAACACGTCACGGGCGTTTTTCACAAATAATAAATGTTTTGCGCATCATATCAGGATAATTAAATTTATTGTGCTTTGTGTAAAGTTAAATTGTGTATTACACACATCAAATATACCGGTTGTAAATTCCGGTGAATTCCTTTGTGCTCATTTTCCGAGCCGTAACTCGAGTATCGTGTAGCCAATTATGTCTCCTTTTAATCATTTGTTGGTAATTTCATATCCTCAATTTTAACGATACTAATTGGTTTCAACAAAGTAATAATAGTAATAATAATAATAACAATAACAATAATAATAATAATAATAATAATAATAATAGTAATAAAGCGCATGTGAGACGCGCGCACGTGTAACTTTATACCAAGGGATGCAAAAATACAGAAGGCTCGTTCTCGAGAGTTTTCATTCGCGATTTAATCAAACGGAATTTGATATAACATTTCAACGCGGCCATAAACAACAATTCTAATTAATTACCTGTGTTCGATAATACCTCGTGTTTAAAGCAGTAACAAATTCCGATTACACGTTAATTAAGTCTACATCGTACTAATCAATGAGCGAGATTATTGTTACACTAACGTATTTAGCTTTCATCAGTATCGCATTAAAATGACTGCCAAATTTTCCACCCACACACACATACGCATCGTGTGATCGAACACAATTACAACAAACAATACGCACAGACACATTGCGTACACATCGAAGTTAAAAACAAAATTTTACACGTTGAAGGTTTATAACCCGCGAAAGTTCGCCGAGTGACTTTAGAGTTCGAGGTAGGGTGGCGTTTCGCATAGAGAGTTGGTCCGGAGGATTCAAAGTGTTGACATCTGGTCTTGATATAGGATATACATTGAACGGTATAAATTCAAACTGCGAAGCCGGACATGTTGCAGAAACATGGGTCGTAGGGGTAACACGCGTTCAACGCCGACACAACGGCGCCTCTCAACCGCTTCTAGTTTCTCTCTTGGCTTTATTATTGAATTGCATTCTTGATGATTGCCGTGACTTATTGCCGCTCGTTTGAAATGTGCAACAATTTATTTAGCACGCGGTCAAGTCACGTCACGCGGAACAGAATGCAAGTATATTTTCAAGTAAATGTCGGTAGTATAACGCGCGCACGTTTTATATTACGTTATATTACATATATATATATATATATATATATATATATATATATCTTTATCAACTATCGATTATTACTTAATGCTTCTTTAAAAGCATTCTCCGTAAATCGAATCTGTCATAATTTATTATTTTTCTTGACATTACATGAAATGTACATTACAATATAATAGAGGGGATGTGTGTACTACTATATGCAAAGTACGAAGCTGTCGTTTGATTTTATTGCTAATAAAAATGAACGCGCGCCACGAAGAGAGATCATTTGCGCGAGATCGAGCCGGACCTTGTAGGTATAGTCCCGTGCAACGGGGGGTAATGCAATTGTTTGAAATGAGCGTTATCGTGTATTCGTTGCATTCACGCCATTAGGGAAGAGATTACGGGAGGAGACTTTGGAGACGCGCAAAGAGAGGAAAAGAAGCTTTGTGATACTCGACGCGCGTGACAACGACGACAACGATGTGCGCGCGATTTCGTCGATTCTCTAATTAAGACGACGTGCCGACGCGGCTGGAAAAGTGTCGGAGCGATAAAGTCGGAACGCATCAGCGCGGAATAATCGATCGCTTACCGGGGGGCACGTCGGTAATTAATTACAGCGTGAATGGTATAATTTACGTTACGCGGCAAATATATAAGCCCACGTTTCCCCACAATGAACACGGACGAGCTGAGAGGGAGGAAAAGAGATAGACATCTAAAACCATAAATTATGGCGCGCGCCGCTTCGAGTGAAATTGTGTAAAATAAATAAGTCAATAATTATATATTACCTTTTACGCTCCATCCGTCTCTCTCTCTCTCTCTCTCTCTCTCTCTGTGTGTGTGTCTCTCTCTGTCTCTCTCTGTCTCTCTCTGTCTCTCTCTCTGTCTCTCTCTCTCTCTCTCTCTGTCTCTCTCTCTGTCTCTCTCTCTGTCTCTCTGTCTCTCTCTCTCTCTCTCCCTCTCTCTCTGTTCTCTCTCTACGTCATTCTCGTCGTCATCGTCGCGCGCGCGATGCTTCTGAGGCAGAGAAGCTCCCCCGTTTGCTCGGGAGCTTTACATCGCGATGGAAACATATCTCAGAAAGATTTATTCAGTGCGGATTAAGAGAAATTCCAGAAGAATTGTAACCACCAGCCCATAAACTTCAAGTAAACTTGTCCTCCTCCGCGCCCGCGATTAATCCCACCCAAGAGATTAAACTTTACAAGGGTTAACGACCGTCGCGCGACAATCTCGAAGACGACCTCTCGCTCCTCCCTGTCGTCCTTCGCGAGTTAAAGTGCACTTATTGACCGCTCTTACAAGCAATCCGCCCATGTCACTCCGATAATCTTGGATCCCCGGCTACGCGAAGTACATTCCGTGTACAAGCGGGACTATCCCGCCGGAAGGATCTCCGAATTCCCGACGACCTGTCCTCTTAGCGTCATTCTCGCTGAAGAGATCAGCCGGGGAGTTTTCTCGCGTAGAAAAAAAAAAAAAAAAAAAGAAGAAGACGAAAATGGACGGAGAACTGCGAGACGGACGGAAAAAAAAGGAGAGGCGAACGTAAGAGAAGAAATTCTTCGATCGTAATCGTCGCTTCGTGCCGTTTCCGCTCTCCATCGTGTTCTCCCTTCTCGACCTCTTCCCCCTTTCTCTTCTCTCCGCCAGTCTCGTGTCAGTCCGATCTCCGAAGCGTCGTAAAAATAGACACCTGGAGGACACCCAGGGTGGCACTCGTTAAACGCGAGAAGGATTTCGAAGATCGGCGCGGCGCGGCGACGAGAGGGACGGAACGCGCGAACGCGGTCATAAAGTCCGTCTTCTTTTTTCTGCACCTTTCGGATATCGCATCAAGATGAAATGCATAGAGAGAAACGAGCCACCCGTTGGCAATCGGGTTTCTCTCCGCCCCTCGCAAAGATTCGTCGATCGCGCGCGACGTGACTTCTCTCCCTGGCGTCGATTAAACGACGACTTTTCCGAGATCGCAGGACTGAATCTTCTCTTGCGAAACTTTTACATGTTTCGGCGGAAACGTTTCTTGAGATAACGTCGCAATATATTAGGTCTACCGGAAAGTTCTGTCCGTTTTTGGAATAAAACAAAATACAAATTTTTCCAAATTTAAGACCATGTTGGAGCAAGATCCTTTTCCGACAACATCGGAGATCGCAGAAAGGCTTAATTCAGCTCAGCAAACCATTTCGGACCATATTCGGAAGATAGGATTGAAAAATTTGGAAAAATTTGTATTTTGTTTTATTCCAAAAACGGACAGAACTTTCCGGTAGACCTAATATATTCTTGCTGTTCCAGCAAAAACCGTTTTTTTGTTTTCGTTTTTGATTGATCGCAACGTGGCGAAACGGCGCGTCCTTCGACGGAATCGCGAGAGACGAGTGTCGAAGCGGTCGAAGTTGCAGATAAAGTATTGCAAATAAATATAATTTCGTGATTTATTATTTTCGACCGTGATATAGGATACAGTGAGAAACCATGTCGCGTAAATAAATGTCTTGCGAAACGGGTTAAATAATTTCGACTATTGAATATTGGATCTCAGCTTCACACTCCCGCGCACACACATACCGTCGTATCGTCATTCTGGACACGACGACACGAGCGGCGTGTCATAAAAATTTCAGCCTAATATCTCAAATATTTTCCCACGTGAATCCTCCCACACGCACTTTTACATTAAAAATGTATTTTTATATGAAAACTGCTAGCCAGTCAGTTCTTGCACGGGTGACCACGTCGAATTTACATTTAATGCGAATGTCGGCGCAAGTTTTTTATCAGGATTTATTCAACACGTACCAAAATATTTTTATTTTTTTACTTTTATCTATCCGTGCCTTTTTTTTATCTCTGTTTTGGATGAAAATCACACGTACGTTTTTCCATTTCTGAAGAAATAAACTGTGTTGTATTCAATTTTGCAGGAGAATCGCGTCGTTCTTCTTTTTGCGCAAAACATGCAATGTTTTTTTTGTTCTAACTTTGATTGCAGCTGTGAAAACGTACGAAGGCGAGACGCTGGAACTAATGGGGGTGCTTCGGCAAGAGATGGGCACGTATCTTTGCATCGCCAGCAACAACGTGCCACCGACGGTCAGCAAACGTTACTCCGTCAATGTTCACTGTAGGTATCGCGCCGCTCCGCGGCCGTTAATTAGCCTCGTCGCCTCGTCATCGTCGTGTTTGCATGCATTAGCAGGGTAGAGACGTGAAAATTGTCATTTCGGTCGACTTCGTTCTCTCGGAAGAAGCTTGCGAAGTCCCGCGAATTCCGAGGAAAGAAGATTCAGCAGATTGCTGAATCTTGAGATCGCAAATCGCAAATTTTGAGAAAAAAAAGATACGAAACTTTTTTTAAAAAACAAAAACGCGATGATAAAAATCTGGAAGTAATAATGATAACAATAAAACGCAATTGTGTCGAGTTTCGAGTCGGAGTCTCTTTCTCGTCGGAGTGTTCTCTCTAAACCCCCGTTCCTGTGCGCGTTACTGCATAATTACTCGCTTGTAACTGTCCGTCGCAAGTTCACGTGTGACAGGATGGAGGGATAAAGACGCGCGAACACGGTAATTAATTAATTATTTAATTAAACCGGGTGTATAACAGTTACAATGCTACCGGTGGAATGCGCTTAAATTTACTTTGACGTAAAAAGTATTTACGGATTTTATTCTCTTGTTTTTAATGAAAACTGAAGAGTCGTAAATTGCGAAAATTACATTCTTACATTTAGTTGAAAATTAAATTTAACTTTATGTACAATTGTGTTTTAGAGATACATTTTGTAAAAAACTGATCGAATTTAAGTGACGTATTTAGACTCACAGTTAATTAGTTAATTTCTTTTAAATATTACATATATCGCGCATATTCTATTTATTTTATACATATTTTAATATTGCAATTGCAAATCTCTGAAACGATGTCATTTAATTTTTATGATACATTAAGCGCACTCTTTGTCCTTCTCTCTCTCTCTTTTACATAACATATATAATTCATATATTAGATATTTTAATTACCAGGATGAAAACCACGTCGATTATTAATGCTTCTTTAATATCGGCGGTAAAACTATCATCCGGGGAGAGGTTTCTATATAACGCGCTGCGGTTAAGGATACACCGACAGGCTTCCAAATGGGAAATGAGGTTGAGTCGAACTTCGTCGAAACATTTTTCGATATCTACATTATGGCAGAAATTTCCATTCAAAAACTTTAACGCTGGAAACCGCCGCGTTAACGTTGAGCGACATCCCAACAAAAATTAGCATGTATATCAATCTATTATATCGCGCGCAAAATTTCCGCGTCGCGAGTATTATATTCATCTAAAGTAGAGAAAAAAATAAAAAAAACTTTATTGTCAGTTTTCACGCGTCTTTTTTTTTTTCGCGCCGTTATATCGAACTGTGTGCGTGTTGTGTTCTCTTTCGCGAAGATGTGAAATAAAATCGGAAGAAAAACAACGCAAAAGGGGAAAAACACATTGTCGAGAACAAATAAAACTTAAATTTGATTAAACAACATACGGATTGTTGTGTTATTTGTGAGAGATAGGGTTTATACCTATCTGACATTCTCCTGGCAGCCCCGGGAAAGGGACAAACGAAATTACGGCGAACCGCACGCATACATTTGCAACGTTACCGCGCTCGTATCGGCCGGCTAAAAAATCACCGTGCAATTTGGCTAACGGCATTCGCAAATGAAAACTTTATCAACCCCATTCCCCCTCCTCCCCCCGCGGTACCGCGGGGGCGTTTTTCCTCGCGCTCAAAACTTCCGGCCGCGCGCTCCTGCAAAATTAACTGGGCTCGGCTTGACGATTTATCCACGTCGTCGCGGAGCGTGTAAATATTTGAGCGCAAAGGGTTTCGCATTAATTCCCTGCTTACGAAATGTAATATTAACCCGGCAAAGTGCAGCTCGCAACCGGTTAAATTCTTGAATGAGCGCGCAGGTCTCTCTTCTCAGGATTTCAAATGTTTCTTTCTGTTCCGCTTGCCGCACTCGTTCGTTTTGTTTTCCGCCCGACCTGACCTTACACACGCACGAATAACGGTTCTTCAAGTCTTTTTACGGAGATAGTTTGTATTTCTAACAGAAACACGAACGTCACCGATGGAGCGTGAGGAAAATCGACTCGCGTTAGAGACAATAGATATTTAAAGTTATCTCAAAACAGGTATCTCTGTGAAAAAACGTTGGTGGTGTAAAAAAGTGAATGATTTAACATTTCTCGTCGTTGTATTCTCGTTAGAATAATATAACGCTTTTTTTTTGCAGAAGATCGATCAAGAGGTAAAGATATGAAGTGCGCGCGTTCGATCCGAAAACCGAAACGCGCCGCGCTATTGAATATATCGTTAATTGCGATAATTGAACGTTCGATTGTTTCAGTCGCGCCTGTTATTAAAGTGACGAATCATATGGTGGCTGCGCCGATTAACAGCGACGTTGTGCTGCAATGTTACGTCGAAGCGTCGCCGCGCGCTATGAACACATGGTACAGAAGCCCAGGTGAGAAATAACGAACAAACGCTGCGCGGAAGACTTTTTTTTTTTTTTTTTACATCAATCACCCGTCGATCTAATTTTAGAAAAACGCGAGACTCCCCGAGTCGAAATTTAGCGTCTACATTGAACCTCAATTTTTGAAAAAAGGAAATTTCGGACGTATAGCAGCGTCAAAGTAGCATCTACTTTCTCTCTTACTCCTACATAAAAAAAGAAAAATTGAGGTTCAATGTAGACGCTAAATTTCGACTCGGGTCGGACCGCTAATTTGAAATATACATTTGTTTCTTTTAACAAATCTTTATGTTATGCGGTTTGCGAAACAATATTAGACTTTTCAAACGCGTGCGCGTGCGCATACACACACACGCACGCACGCACACGAAAGAACCGGAGAATTGAGAGAATTGAGTTCGTTTAATTTGTTGTTAAAATCGTAGGTAATATTAATCGACTGTAATTCGTATTACGCCGTGTTACACTAACCGGATTTGCACTCTTGATTAACTATAGAGTCGCGGCGCGCAATCAATTTCTAAAGCGTTAAACTCCAACGTACCATAATAATACTGATTGCAAATCGGAATTGTGTCAGAGTGAAAATCTGAATTCCACGCTGTAACCGCCATAACTATATATATGTGTGTATATATCTATATATA